TTTAGGGTTTAAAGGGTTTGAGGATTTAGGGTTTAGGGCCCTCCCTTAGTAGAATTTGAAATTGCCAACGTTATAGCAAGATCTCCATAGACCCCACATTCTATCTACATAAGGGGGGCTTTTGCCTTCTGCGGTGTTAAGGCTTGAGGTCGGGGGTGTAAGGGTTAAGGTTGAGGGTTTAGTTTTGAAGCGCTAGGGGTTTGAAGGGTTAGGTCTTGGGGCGTTTAGGGCTGAAGAATCAGGCTTCAATCAAATCCCTTCAGCCTGCTGGATTTTGTGAATGTGGGGGTTTGGGGGGTATAGGGTTTAGGGTTTAGGGTAGAATTTAAGCTCCTTCTTTTGAGACTTTTCTTTTGCCCCCCCATGGTTAGATGTGATGTCCTTCCCTTTCACCTTGCATGCGGTCGCATTTGGCAACTGACATGAGAGGCTGTACTTGCAAGGCCGCCTACCTACAGTTTAGTAGTAAATCCCCCTGGTTGGTAGGCATCAACTAAAACCGTAGGTAATAGAGGTTACAGGTAGGAACCTTCATGCTTGCTGAGGTGCTACGCTTCGCAGTTTACGCTGGCATTGCCACCTTCGTCATCATGGAGCGCAGTCAAGTAGGAGACCTGTCAGCAACAAATGAGGCGCTGAGGTCCGCTTTGACCAGCCAGTTCTTCGAATATACCCCAGTGCCAAGAGCCTTTGATGACATCAAAGATGAGAGGGATGTCCGGAATTGGCTAAGATGGCTCTGCACATCGCTGGAGCAGGCTGGCAACGACCAGTCCTATGGGAATCCTTTGTCCCTACACTTACACAACAGAGTGCTTCCGAGAGCAGGGGCCTGCTTGGATGTGGCATCCGTTTCTCTGAGCTTCCGACGCGTGAAGCTCTCCAGTGATAGTGCCTCAACCACTACAGACAGGTGGGAGGTTCCCAAAATCGGTGAGTTTCTCAAAAACATCCCTCTGCCATCTTGAATCGTATGAGGACTGGCACTCCATAAGTGTCACGTGATAATAACAGGGTCCCTTGTTTGGGGTTGGGGTTATCAGTATCTCCTTCTTACCTAAGGGATGCCCCTCATACTCTTTTTGTATTCCAAATCTCTCCATGGAGCTTTCAAGACGAATGCTTGCTCGCTCGGGCACCAGAATTCTAAAAGAGCTGAACCCTAAAACCTAAACCCTTACCCCCAAACCCCGAACCCCACACCCTCAGGTTTTCCCAGCTATATCCGTTAACATGGATGGCAAGTACCATCGCTCCCGGACAAGATGGAGGGAGTGTTGAAGAAACTGGGTTGCTCTTAAGGAATTAGTACTCTTAAGGTACCAGAACCCTACCAAGGTTTAGGGTCTAGGATTTAGGGTTTAGGGTTTAAGCTTTAGGGTGTAGGGTTTAGGGTTTAGGATTTAGGGTTTAGGGTTGACTTTTTTGAAACTTAGTTTAATCAAGTTTCTTAACAGCAACTCAGGAAACATCTACCATCCTCGCTGGCAATGTGTCACTTACCTGCCCAGTGGGAAGACTTTAACCTTCTAGGGCAACAAATACAAAAGCCAACATAAACGAAAACGTAATTACCCAGAAAGCCCAACATCTTTTAATTAGGGAATATAGCGTATATGATACCAGGTAATTGTATTCCTTCAGTAACGGATTTTGGGCTTTCTGGGTATTCCCTTGAGGTAATATGCAACAGCCAGTAGAAACCAGTGGGTTGATCTTGGGAAAGCACTACCCAAAGAGTCCAAGCGCCGAATATTCAATAGTCGTATGCCTGCTTAAAACCAGTACATTATGACTCCCCAGATCACAAATCCCAAGTTATTGGCTACTGGGAACACTTAGGGGTCAGGGTTTAGGGTTTAGGGACATTGGACGCCCAAGGTCATGGGTGCACACGCCATCTTGCTCGTCGTGTGGAGATGCAGGATCCTCGTTCGCAGACCTTACCTTAAACCCTTCACCCCGTAGCATGGACACTCTTTCGGCCCAGCTAGTCCGGAGCTTCTGAGAAATCATTCCTATGCAATCTTTAAGGGGTACCTGCATGATGCCTCCACAATCCCAATGTTTCCCTGCAAGCGCCTGAAAGTGTGAGAAACCGCACCCTTAGCCCTAAATCCTAACCTTGTGCATTCATGAAAAGGCGCGGTGTTTCCAAGGATGTCGACACAAGGGTTCTTAGCCTGGGGGTGACTGGTTTAGATTAACCGGGTCAGGTGTTAGGGGGTGTAGAAGCCTGAATACTTCCTCAGTGATCAGTGATATGTTCTGCTGATACCTCCTTCTGACTTGTAGCAGAATGTGCGCCCAAAGCCTGTTCAAATCATTGAAGTTCCTACAAGTACGTTCAATCCCTGCGAACCCCCATGCAAACATGGTTCCCATTCATGCTACATGTTCTTTTCCACACGATTCTACACTCCTTTAAGTATTTAAGCCTTAACCTGTATATCTTTGCACTTTACACTTTTTCCTGGTCCCTGAAGGGTTTTTGCAGACAGCTGTGGTCATAGACACATGTACCGTGACACTTGGACGTGCGTAAGCTTCCACATGACTCCCTGACCCTTACTAAGCCCTAGACTCCTTACCCTTGCATCCCGAATCCTAAGACGTTGCAGAACCTCGCAAACCCTAAATCCTCAACCTAAACCCTAACCCCCAAGTGCAAGTCCTGGTGCCAAGGATACCAAGATGCTGGAGGATACCTGGCAATGACCACGTCTTCCGCAACTGGTACCTCGGTTGTTGTTGAACAGCATCTTTCCGTGTATATATATATATATATGCCGAACCCAATTTAGATCGAACCTGCTAGGTTTTCTATTTTAACCTCATCAACCCTAAACCCTAAACCCTACATATTCAAGGTACATTTGTCCATTTGGTTGACCAGTCACAAACGTTTGATGTGCAACCAAATGAAGACGTCTATCATTGCGACCAGCGACTTCTAAGATCCTTGGCTGCTGTTAAGGAACTCGCTTTAAGTCAGGGTCTAGGGTTTAGGGTTTAGGGCTATATCATCCCCATTGAATGGAGAATCACATGGAAAAGAACATGGAAAATGAAATGAAAACTGGTGGAATATCGGGAGTTTAGGAATTTTTGTTTAAGTTACGAAAAGGGCGAAACCATAATTACTAATTACTATATATACATATATACCCAATATGGTACCTGAATTTAAGCCCTAAACCCTAAACCCGAAATCCTAAACCCCTAAACCCTAAACCCTAAACCCTACCCTAAACCCTGAAACCCCTTAACAGCAGCCTAGGATCTGGAAGTGTGACTTTGGATGCCTTTCTGTCTGAGCCGTTCTTTGATCCGCAGCTCGGTAGCCTGACTGTGGAGTTCCAGTCCTACAACGCAAACTACCAGAGTCTGGGTTGCTATTTATATAGGGTTTAAGGGTTACCATAATGGGTCTATATAGGGTATATAGGGTATATATCGTCATGAATATGGTTTCCCCAATATAGTAATTTAAAATAGGTATTAAGGACCTTAATTCAGTTACCATAATAGTTATATGTCATGAGTTATAGGGCTTCCCCAATAGAATGGCTTTAGTTAAGTTCCTTAACAGCAACCCAGGAGCTTGTCGAGAGTGAATGTGTTTTTCCAGTTCAGTGCCGCCGGTGGACTCTCCTCGCACAGCCTTAGAGCAGATACGATTCGATTGGACGTCTCTCATGGTTGGATTCATTACTTTGAGTATGCCTACCTGATCCTCACATGCCTCTATTTCTTCGAGCTGGTCTACAGAATCGGCAAGGGCTTTCCCACATACTTGAGAAACTTCTGGTGCTACGTTAATGCATGTTCCATCATTGGAAGCATCAGTTGCTTTGGTCTCTGGTATTACTACATGCCTCGGCTACGAGATTTCCAAATCGGACGGCAGTTTGAGCAACCAGCTGAGTTTCAAAGCCGATTTGAAACCTTCTCCCTCTACATCGTGGCTTCTTCGTTTGCCACGTTCACCATCTACTTAAGGGTGCTTCAGTTTCTCTCCAACACACGCTCGCGCGTGGTTCTCCTCCTGAAGACCATTATGTTCAGTGCAGGAAATATGGTCGTGTACATCCTCTACATCGGTGTGATCTTTGTTGGCTTCTTCACATTCGCTTTAACGCACTTTGCGCCACTCTCTGCAAACTTCACTGATCCATGGCACACTTTTGTTAGCACCTTCTCGCTGTTCTTCGGGGACCTGAGTGTGGTAAATGGCTTCCAAGCACCACTCCGGGTTCCTTTCATTTGGCTCTTCATGTTCTTCTTTTTCTTCTTGTCGGTGCAGATGTTCAACGCGATCATCAACTACTCGTACAACAGGGTCTCGGAAGACATGAAGGCCGTGTTCCAACGTGAGCAGTACGAGCAGCAGCTGAAGAGAAAGAAGAAGGGCAGGAGTCTCTGGCAGATTATCACCAGCTTGCGCAAGCCCAAGCCGGCGGAAGAGCAGGAAGATGTTGAAGCAGTTTCTGCAGGGGTCAATGCACAAACTACTGCCGTGGTGTCAGATGCATCGGCACTTGATGAGGCAGTTCGACAAAAGGTTGAGGAGTACCGTGGGAGGGACACCAACAAGAGTGCCAAGGACGGCATTTGCACAGCTGTGGCATACACCGTCATGGTGGCATGTTACATCTGGTTCCTTTATGTCAACATGAGGGTTGAAGAGAAGAGTTCCGTTCGCCTTGTGGTCAACGAAACGGTGCATGCACTGGAAGTGTCCTCGTCAATGGCGTTGGGATCTGTTGAGCCCCCTCCGGAAACATGGGCAGACATTCACGCATGGCCACAGGCAATTTCTTGGATTCAAGCTGGACTGCCGCAGTTGGTCTTCAACTCCACCTCCGCAACCAGCATGGCCTTGGCCGTATCCGCAGCAGAGCCGGTGGCATCCGAAGGCACCCGATGTCTACGATCTTGGAACTGCTTCGTCACAGGCATATCTGCGAATGCTAGCCGGAACATTGTGCGCATCACGCAGAAGAGACTGGGCTGCTGTTAAGGAAGTCAGTTTTAGCTACTATATTGGGGAAACCCTTTTTTAATTACTCTCTATATATGTATACCCATTATGGCCATTATGGCAACTGAACTTATGTTCCTTAACAGTAACCCAGGAGAAGCAAGAGATTGTTGAACAACGGTGCTCGCCATGACTCTACGCCAGATGACGAGCGTTTCATCGGTGGGATTGACAATGTTACGGGAAAGGAGGTGGGGGGCCCCTTTATTTACGGAAACTACCATATTGGCACATTACCCAGTTTCCACTTCATTGTTGCTTTCATGTCCTTTTCCATTTGACTCTTCATAGTCAAGGTTACATACATTATTATACTTGAGACCACCAGGTGCAGCAGCTGCTGGTGAATGTCTCGGGGTTCTCCCAACGGATTGATCCTGAGTCCTCCAGCAACGTTGCCGAGGATACGAATGTGCAATTTCAACTTGCCCTCAGGGAGCAAGAGCTTTGCAGAAGTGTGGCTGCAGACACACCCGGCAGCTACAAGAAGACTGGCGGAATCGTGTGCGAGCTGGACTCAGATCCAGTGATCTTTCGGGAGCAGATGGATCTCATGCTTTCAAGTGAGTTCTTCACAACAGCTTCTGCCACTTTTGTAGTTGAGCTTGTAGCTCACAATGTCAACCGAGACGTGTTGAGCTACATCATCATCAAGTTCGTGCAAACGCCAGCCGGCGAAGTGAAAAAGGACCTGCGGGTATACTCTCTGGCATTGTTTGGGTGGGATGTGGGAGTAGACAAGCTGGAGTACTTCATAGGACGTCTACTTCCTGGAGTAGTGTACATGATCCTCGTCACATGCTTCACCATCATGCTCTATCGGGAGATGCAGACAGAGCACACCCGCAGAGCAGTCTCTTTGGAGGGTGCAGGCAAGGGCCCAACCCTAAACCCTAAACCCTAAACCTAAACCCTAAACCTAAACCCTAAACCCTAAACCCTAAACCCTAACCGCAGGCAAGGGCCCAGGCTTCCTGACCACTATCTACACCTTCTTCGTCTCTGACATCTTCCGGCCTGTGGCTGGGTTGCTGTTAAGGAACTTAAATTAAGCTACCATAATGGGTATATATATAGTAAATAATAGGCTTTCCCCAGTATAGGAACTTAAATTAAGTTACCATAATGGGTATATATGGTAAATAATAGGGTTTCCCCAATATAGTAACTTAATTTAAGTTCCTTAACAGCAACCCAGGTGGATGCGCTTTCATTTCTGATGTCCTTCTGGAGCTTTGTGCTCTTCATCATGTGGCTGGTGAAGGAAGGCGAACTCCCGCAGAAGCTTTCGGCAGATTATGGCTCGATTGTTGACTTTGCATCTGAGCTGACAGCCCAGGAGAGAGGGACGAAAGGAACATACCTACCAAGGTCCTTATATTCTAGTATATTCCTACTATAACTGTGGCGTTCCCTGTTTGGGGTTCCCAACCCTAAGCCCTAAACCCTAAACCGTAAACCCTAGATGCCCTAGAACCTTATCTACAGGAGAGAGAGTACAACCGCATCTCATCCGCCAACTTGCTCCTAATTTTTGTGCGACCTCTTCGCTTCATTCGCGAAGACCCTCGCATCCAAAAGATCAATCAGACGCTGAAGGAGGCCACGAAAACAGACTAAACCCCTAGACCTAAACCTCTAACAACCTAAACCACCAAAGCCCTAAACCCTAAACCCATGAAAACCCTAAACCCTTACAAGGGGACACGAGCATGGGAGAAAAGGTCCCATCAGAAAAAAAAACACCTAAAAAGCCTACTTCCCTGAACCCCTGAACAAACACGAAGCCCTGAGGCTCGGACCGACATTTTTTGGTTCATCGTAGTCCTTGGCATCGTGCTTTTCGCATGTACCTTACTGTCCCTTACCTTTTGAGTGGGGTTAAGGGTTTAGGGGTTTTCAGGGTTTTAGGGTTTAGGGTGGAGGGTTCGGGGGTTGTAATGGTTTTTAGGGTCCACTTGCTGGCTCTTAGTAGGGAAAAGGGGAAAATTCTAGTGAGATTCGATTCACTAATTCCGTAGTGAGAGCCAGTAACTTTAAGGGTCCAGGGTTGTTAAAAACCAGCAACAAGGGTAACTATGGGAAAGCCGTAGACACTGAACAACTAAGGTCCTTTCTGTCTTGCGGGGTTTAGGGTTTAGGGGCTTAGGGTTTAGACTTAGACACTGAGGTCCTTTGTGTCCTTTGGGCCTTCCTTTATCAAGTGCGCCGACATCTTTACCGCCTTCATCTTCTGCTTCTCTTTCATTATTGGAGAGTTCGATTTCTGGAGCCTCTACAATGCAAATCCCACCATGGCAGTTCTGTTCTTCTTCCCGTACCTCATTCTCGTCTATTGCGTGTTTACTAACATCTTCTTTGCGATTCTTGATCGGTTTTTTGTCTCCGCGGATCCTCCACCCATCAAGTTCAAGCGCAAGCTAAAGCCGATCTTCTCCAAGATCTGTCGATGTATCGACTCTTGGCCGAATTTGGATGCTAAATGTGATGAATATGGGGGTTTCCCAAAATTAGGGCCTTGTGGGGGTTCCTATAAGAAGGACTATAGTATTTTGGGGTCTATATTGGGGTCGCCCTATTTTGGGAAACTACCATATCATGAATACTTGATGAATTCCTTGTGAGAGCCCCCAGGTCATTTCTATAAAGACATCCTCGCTGCATGTGAGGGCCTGCATGCAGGCAATTGTCAAGACGTTTCTTTAGCCCTGAAACCTAATCTTTGAACGCCCAAACCCTAAAACACTAGCCTAAGACCCTTAAACAACATAGAACCCCCAAATCTGAATTCCCACAACCCCAAACCGTAAACCCTAAATCCCAAACCCTACACCTTGAACCGCCGTATCAGGACTGGGACGATGACTTCGTAATGGAGGGGGACCCAAAGGCCGCTCTGTGAGTGGTGATCTTACCACCAGTAAGTAGGGTATTCAGGTTTGTGGTTATTAGGGAAGGAGGGAATGTACTCCCTATAAAATCCTGATATGGTATATGACATATTCCTTTAGTCCTGGCTAACCCCAGTAAGTTATAGGTGTTAGGGTTTCAGGGGTTAGGGCTTTGCGGGTTTGAGGTTTTGGGTTTCAGGTTTTGAGGTGTGGGTTTTCGATTTTGGGGTTCGGTTTTTGGATTTGGGGCTTTCGGTTTAGGGTTTAGGTGTTGGGATTAGGGTTTCAGGGGTGTGCCCAACGCTAGGGTTGCAATGCGGGAGGCTCTCATTCCTCACATCTGCAGTAGCCACTTGCATGACCCACGTCAAGTCTCCGTATCATCGCTGTCCCGAAGGGCTCTGTCTAGGTATTTCGCTGAGCATTTTAACTGTGGATAGTTGTAAGTTAAGTTGTACACGAAACTGTCTCGTACTCACGATCATATTTGTAGTGTCTACGATGGTACTTATAAGTGTCCATGAGCCTTGAAGCAGCACCTGGAGTGTCAACGGCTTTGGAAAGATAAGTTAAACACACAAGCATTGTTCATGAGGATTCTTCGCATATTGGCTTACTCCTAAACCTTCAATCCTCAACCCTCCGCCCGGTCCTATCCGCTAAGCTCCGAACCTCTAACCCTGAATCTTGGAGCAACCTTGAATCATTGAACCCTGGCCTGAATTTTCCCGAGAAGCCCCTGCATAACCCAGCATTTCTTTCCAGGTGATTTTCCCCCGTGTGGCCCTTAGATAACACCAAAACTCCTAAACCTCAAACTCCTAACTCCTAAAGCCTAAACCTGGAACCCTAAACCTTAACCTCTAGACCCTGAATCCCAAACCCTAAACCCTAAACCTGAGACCCTAAACCCTGAATCCTAAACCCCAAGTCCTAAACCCTAAACCCTAAACCTGAGACCCTAAACACTAAATCCTAAACCCCGAGTCCTAAACCCTAAACCCTAAACCTGCGACCCTAAACACTAAATCCTAAACCCTAAATCCTAAACCCTAAGTCCTAAACCCTAAACTCCGAGCTTGAGGCTGCCAAGAAGGACGGTCCAGTCTCACGTGCAGGCCGTGTGGCATTCACTGCTAAGGCTGGGGGGGGGGTCTTTCAAGATTAAGGGTTAAGGGTTTAGGGTTTAGGATTTAGGGTTTAGGGTTTAGGATTAAGAGTTTAGGATTAAGGGTGTAGGGTTAAGGGTAAGGGTTTAGGGTTTAAGATTAATGGTGTAGGGCTTAGGATGAAGGCTTTAGGGTTTAGGATTGAAGGGTTTAGCGTTTAGAGTGGAATGTGCATATGGGTCCTCATCCCCATAACGGATCCCGATGTTTTTTCAGCATTCCCTAAACGCTAAATCCTAAATCCTAAACCCTAATCCCTAAACCATATTCCTACACCCCAAATCCTCAACCCTAAGCCGTGGCTGAATTTTAAGAGGCCCTACATCTGATGTCAGCAGGTGATCAACAATTCCTTTTCAACCCCACGCCTAAACCCTGAAGCCTAGACCCTGAAGAAGGATGAGTGATTCCTACTGAGGGCCTGAAACCCTTAGCGCTCGCCGCACACATCAAAAGTGTCCGAAGGGCTAAAAAAACTGAAACTGAAAAGCCCTAAGCCCAAGATCCCAAACCTAAAACTCACCAAACCTTAAATTCTAAACTCTAAATCCTACTAAACCCTAAATCCTAAACCCTGAATCCTAAAGTCGAAGCCCTATGCCCTAAATCAGGTGATCCACAACATCCGCAAAGGTTTGGATGGAGAAGCTGGCGGCCAGATGTCTTTGAGCAAGCCGCTTCGTGAGGTGCGAGTTGGGGATTTAGGGCTTAGGGTTTAGGGTAGGAACCCTAACCCTGGCTTGGGGTTTTAGGGTTTTAGAGTTGTGGGGTTTTAGGGGTTTAGGGTTTTAGGGTTGTAGGGTTTTGGGGTTTGGGGTGTAGGCGTTAGGGCTTAATGATGCCTATTCTGGGCCACGAAGTCTATGACTCGTACCTACGTGGGGCTATGTTGAGCAATAGGGCTAAAAAGCCTGAATCCAGATTCCTCGTGCACCCGGCATTCCCTATAGCCTTCCCCATTTTCAGAAGTTCAAAGGTTTGCGACATGGATGACCGCCTCTTGGGCGTGGTGAAGTGGGGCAAGGAGGAGGCCTCCTCATTGGTCAGTGAGTTTCAGAACCTTCTCGCCAAAAAGCAGAATTACAAGAACGAAGACGTGTTCATAAAGCAGGTTGTCATGAAGAAAGTTGACCAGGATGAAGGCAGGACCCGAGCAGAGATGGAAGAGGCACATCGGCAGATGAGGTATGCAGCCGAAGTTCATGAAGTCATGGCATTGCGTGACCAGCAGACGCTCGCAAAGTATATCTGGCTCTTGGAACAGAAGATCCAGAAGAAGATGCTGGGTTGCTGTAAAAAAACTTAAATCAAGTTACTATATTGGGGAAACCCTATCATTTACTATATACACCCATTATGGTAACTTAATTTAAGTTCCTTAACAGCAACCCAGGATGAATGACCAGCATGCCCTAAAGATGGAGGCAGGGACCTTCAGGATCCCAGGTTTAGGGCTTTGCGGGCTTGGGCACCCGACTCTGAGTCTTTGGCTTAAGAAGGCTTAACAGGGGCCTTTAGCACAGGCGTTCAAGAACTCCCTGCTGGCAGGTTCATCACCTTCAGGAAGAAATGGACAGGATGCGTTTCACCAAGGAAGAGCTGAGGAACCAAGCAACTGGCATGGGCTCCACAGAAGCAATGCCGGACGACGAGACCAACGGCACACATCTGAGTTGCAAAAGCAGCAGCCATGGCTGTGACGGGTTTGCTTTCAATAGCTTCTCGCATACATGTACATTTAAACACTTCATGTTCATGTCACGCACTGAGGCCTTCCAAATTCAGACGAGGAGGATATGGATGAGCTTCGCGAAGGCGAAGTTGTCGCCGGAGCACTGACCGCAGATGACCCTAACGCAGCCATGGACCATCCAATGCCGCGGGAGAACCCGACGACCATCTCGATGCTAAATGCGTTGAATGGCCACAAGGCGTAAAGATATTGCCATGGCCACCGCTAGCACAAGTTTCACGTAGTGTGCATGATCCGTCAAATTTACACTAGTCGGAATAGTAGGTTCAGGGGCTGTTCAAGCAGCGCCGTGACGACAGCGACTTTTCTCAAGCTCTAGAGCAAACATGCGCGATACTTGTCTGTTCCATAAGATAGTTGCAAAGGAGATGCTGCTGTATCATTTCGTTAGAATACCACTCAGAACATGGTATCATATGCACGCATGCAACTTGCACAATCTAAATCTAAAGAAAGTCTTGGCTGCAGCGGTTTTGATGGAGATCCTGTTAGCACGATCAAACACCATTAGTCGTTCGTGGATAACAGCAGTACCCTTCATCATAGCGCAAATCAAGGGGTTTGGACTCTGTTCTCTGCTGAGCTTTTGCTTCTTCATGTCGAGCCCGTCATGCGTACCTTCACGTCTGCGAGCTTTAACAATCACGGCTTGCTCAGGGACCGTCCACAAATCAGGGGTCTTGTTCTAGGGCAAGGGGATTTCCATGTTCGTGGTGTTCCCCTGGGCATTCAAATGCGGCACAGGGCAAGATTCGTCTCGAGCCCGCCAGCAGATTGGTAGATCATAGCAACTTTTCATGGAGCCACAACCTTGCAAACTATGAGAAGATGCAGGCTTATTGACATACCACGCTGCAGACCTCTGAGGATGTGCAATATAGAAGAAGAGTTCTTAAGCAGGAAATATCATGGTCTTTGGTAAATACATGAATACATAAGAAGATGTGTATGTACATACATTTATCCTCAACCTCCAACTCTGAACCCTACAGTACTTCCACGAGTTCCAAGCCTCTCCCATGTCCTGGGTTCAGTCAAGCCTCCAAACTCTACACCCTAAACCCTAAACCCTAAACCTTAAGCCCAACCCTAAACCCGGCTTGGCTTAGCAACAATGGCCAAATGCGTCTTGCCGCCTGGCTGCACTCGAAGGTTTAGGGTTTAGGGTTTGGGGTGTAGGGTTAGGGGTTTACGGTTTGGGGTTTGGGTTTTGGGGCTTAGGTTAGGGGTTTAGGGTCTCGAGGGCTGAACATCTTGCATGTGTATGAGTGCCTGAATGCCTGAATACAGAGTGAATATGGTCAGGCTTGATCGTATTCATCGTAGCTTCACGTTATTTGAGTTCACTTGCAGAGGTAGGCCCAAGGCCAGGTTCTCACCAATTGTACTATAGTCTAAACTCTTTAAAAAGGGTTATAGAAGGACTTATATGGGGGACTACTATAGGGGTTAGTAAGGGGGATCCTAAGTTACTAGGAATTAAGATTATAGCTCAATTGGCATATTCTCAATATTACAGGTTCCTACCTTGGACACTTCCATTTGCTACCAGGCTGTTCGGCATGTTTATGGGACCTGGTTGAATCTGGTTGAGAGATTTGGGAGCTTCTCAAGGCTTCGCAAGGCAGTCCCTCTTTTGGAGGCCCACAATTCCTATACTAAACCCTAAGCCCGAAACCCTAAGTTGACCAAGATGGACCTAACTGAGTTGAGGTCCTAAACCCTAGAAGGAGTAGGTTTGGGTGGCTTGGCCGGCCGCCTTAGACGGCGTGGGGTGGGTGAATGTGTTAGATGGCCTTCTACACTCAGGCCATGGCTTCACCTCGCATGCAGCCATGTGCATGAGGGATCATTGACATCTAATCATCACCTCCTGCATGGTACTTCACGGCAAACCCGAAACCCTAAACCCTAAACCTTAAACCCATACATAAATATTTATATCCCTAGAGTCCCTAAAGGGCCTTTTCTTTGAGAGAAGCCTTCGGCTCTCAGAATACTTGGTTGACCTGACCATCTCACTCCTAAAGCCTAAGCTTCAATTCCTCATAAGAGAACCCAGAATTTAGGGCTTAGGGTTTTTGGCAGTAACAGTGGTAATAACAATAATCCTGATAATTTTAGTAGTAGTAGCAGCAGTAATAATAGTAATATCTAGTAACAACAGTAGTAGGCGTAAGAATGGGAATAGCAGTAATCATCTAGGAGCACACATATGGTAGCCGGGCTACTTTGGGCTCCGCCAAAATATGGGCCCCCACAAATTGAAGCCTTATTGAGGGTTGTTGGGTTATATTCTGGTTTATTACAGCTTTGTTAGGCCTGGTTAGCTTTTGTATGTGCGGGTGTCATGGTAGTCCTATAGTTCCAGGCATTTCTTGCAGCGCTGCTGTGCAGCGCCAGCCAGAGCAGTCACCTCAGATAGTTCATAGAGTTCAGGATTCAGGTGGGAGTAGAATTTCAGACCTGGGGCGTAGGGTGTTCAGGGTTCGCGGTTTAGGGCTTCGGGGTTTGGAGGTTAGCAGGATTGCATTATATCCTCTGGGACCATGGGATTGAAGGATTGGATAGCCTTGGGGCGCAGGCTTTCAGCCAAGATTCCAGGAGCGTTTTAAAAGGCAACATCTAGATCTAAGATTGAAGTACAGGGCCCTTTGCCTTAAGTGGGGGTTCTAGGTGTCCTCAAGGGTGTACATAGGGCCGTACGTAGGGTCATCTCAGGTGTAAAAGGAATTCAGGAATAATGGCCCATAAAGGATGCATAGAGATGCTAATATGAGCTACTGCTATTAAGGCCTTAGCAGTGGAAATGGGGCCCTTCTTGTAGTTTAGTTTAGTCCCTAACTTAGTCCCTAGTAAGGAACCCATGTCCAGCAAATTCTGTAGGAAATATAGACAGTAGCCCATATGAAGCTTCTCGCAGCTTTCGCCGGGGTTGTTGACAGCCCAGGCGGCTTATGAAGGTCTGGAACCTCTTGCAAGAAAATTCAGCGCTTTACTTGCACGTGTTATAAGCCCACAAAATATTTGGTGTCGTGCTAGACGCACTGGACCTGAAGCCCTAACAGGAAAGAAACCTAGCAGTTGATGTCTCCAGGTCCCGAGGAGGCGTGTGAGGAGTTGAGAAATGCGTGTCTTCCCCAGCTCTATGCTTCGTGAGCAGTCAGAATAACAATAGGAAATATAGAAATATTAATGGTAAGAGGTATTAGTCATAGTAGTAATAACAATACGAGTAGCGCCTTGTGCTGTGTTTGCGGAGAGTTTATGGGTCAAAAGTGGCAGGGATATGAGTTTTCAGAAATTCAGACGCTTGGTATCCCACAACTAGAATGGCCCTGAGCCCAAACATATTCCCTACATACTCCCCAAATAAAGCCAGCGATGGCCAATTCCAATTGCTCACCGCACAAGCCCCCTAAAACGCATCATAGACCCAAACCCAGACCCTTATCCAAAATCCCACAACCCCACCAGAAACTCAACCACAAGGCTGTCCAGAGACCCATACCCCAACGCATAGAAAGGGTGTAGGGTTTAGTGTTTAGGGTTTGGGCGGCTTTAGAGCTGAGGGTATAGGGATGAGGGCTTAGGGTATAATGGAAATGGTATCCTCAAACAGTTTGCGCAGCACCATAATCTGTATACAATCCCCAAGGTTAGCCTTTAGTTCTCCTAGGAAAATCTTACCAGCACAATTTGCCTTATAAGGGTTGCAGAAGAGCGCGCTTCGCTGGCGTGTCGAGATTGATGCGATTCGAGACTTTCACCGACGACAAGCACCACTACAATGCCAAGCAGAAGGACCGATTGCCATTGCAAGGGAGTGTGCAAGGCTTCACTACTTCGGATCAAAAGAGATTGTTGCTGCTTATTTGATGGCTGTACATAGCAATGAGGCCCCATGAGCGCCTCATGTTTGCTTTGACGGTTCCACTGGACTTCATGCCCTTCTGTCTTGGTGCCACGTGGCCCATAGGTCTTAAACCAGTTTCGCACGAGCAAGGTGTGCTAAACTAGAAGTTGCGCTCAAAAGCGGTGGCCATGGGTGTCAGAGACTGGATTACAGGCGTAGCTGCTGGCGTCGCCGGTGGTGCGGTCGCCGTGGTTGCAGCACCGGTTGCTCTTGGAGCAATCGGATTCACAGGTGCAGGCATCGCCGCAGGCAGCACTGCCGCTGCAATGATGTCAAGTGCCGCCATTGCGAACGGGGGCGGCGTCGCAGCAGGCAGCACCGTTGCCGTTTGCCAGAGCATTGGAGCTGCAGGGCTTGGCTCTGGAGCAAAAGCTGTGGCAGCAGTGGGTGCAGCCTTGGGTGGAGGCGCAGCCGTGACGCAGAGGAGCAGGTTGTGAGATGGCGGCTGCAAGCATTGCCCTCACAAGCTGGTGCCGATGCCTGTTGCCCACTAGCATAGTTGCTTTTTGAAAAAGTACGAATCAGAGGTAGGCCTTGGAAATGTAGTGCTGTTCTAGCATAGACAATTGATGCTGGTTACCTATGGTTCGTGCATGGAGGCCTTGTGATGTGCAGACAGACTCGGTGCGTCATCCTTTCAGGTGCACTTTGAGCTCATGACATGTCAGCCGACGAGCAAGTCGAAAACGGCAACCGCGTGCGAGAGCGAAGCCGTTATAAAGCCCACCTTTTCATTTTCCATTATCCTCATATAAGCCCAATATAATCCCTAAACCCTATACGCAAGCTTTTGGCTCAATCCTCTCCACCTTGTCGTCCCCGAAGGATTGCTCCGACGACGTGCCCAACATCAAACCTCGAGCGCTACAGCACTATCGCCAACACAGTGGTCGACCTCTTCGTCTTCCAGTGCCTTGGTGAGGGGCACATTTCTATGGAATAACAAGCTAAAGCACCACAACCAGGAACAACACGTGAAAAAAACAACATAAAAAGTAAGTTACTAACACGTGAGATTTAGGATTGTCATTTTAAACGTTTAACTGTTCAAAACATGCATATTCTGAACGTACATACTGCCTATCATTACCTTCAACGGTATAGTAATTTTGACCCAGCTTGTTTTCAAATGCTATCAACTGTATAGAGTATAGATTGCTGGAACCAGCTGCTTACTCTTTCTTGCTCATTTGGCTTTCGCTTCCTAAATATCTTAACTTCATCACCTACATCTAACTCCGGATATACACGGTTCTTCTTTCCTTTCG